TCCTCAAAAGCCTGATGATCATATTTGAAACTCACATTTTAACATAATGTATGGATAATCAAGTAAAGCTAAAATGTTTCAATCCAGTAAGTGTTCATCTTGAAATAGTACTAACAGTATAAAAGTAATTCTTAATCATGCTTGCAATTTAATCATGTTGATCATTTAGAGGCCTTAGAAATAAAAAATGATACAGTAGGTTTTTTGGGCTAAATAGTAATTCTGTAAAGAAGTTTTATGTCTTATTTGTCTACAAAACTAATTTCAAGTGTCCAAACCCAAAGTCTTTCTGGGGTGAGTTATTCCTTCCATTTATTTACACTTTTGTATAAAAACAATACACTCATTTTGCTACAATTTGGTCAAAATTCCTCAGATGTTTGCATTTACAAATTTAGGGTCTCATTGCAGATCCGCTCACTGCTCTTTGGGGCTGTATACAGCGATGGAGGGCATGGTAAGACTGCGGATTTGCCCAGCCTGGTCTGTGCCAGTGACACAGAGGAGTGACTCGGGTAACAACGTAAGCTAACCTGATGCAGGTAACACCCACTGCAAGAATGCATGGACTTTACTGCATAAGGCCTACAGCATGTTTTCTGCAGTTAAATGTCATACTTTACTAAACATTTGGGTTGTTTTAAGGTTGAAATCTATTAAATTTGACATGTTCCTTAAATATTGCTGTCAAGGCTATCGCTAGGTCTTGTTAGTGCACACATCTTGTATTATTTTATTACTGTAAAAAAGCTGTAAGCTAGCTTTGTTCTTTGTAATGTAAAAATTATGTCATGGGTTAAAACTGTTCTTGGAGAGAGGAAAGGAAAACTCTAGGACAATAGTAAAGTGGGGCACAATCACTCTCTGTTGCATAGCTGAGGAATGTCAACCTAAACACACAGTTCAGATGAGTTCGGTCACCATGGAGAAGATAAATCAAAACTTCAAAACAAACATTCTTGAGGACTGAAGGACTCCGTGTTCTGTGTGTCCACCGCGGAAGCTTTGACTCACTGCTTTAAAATGCTGCCCGAGAAGCGATCGTTATGTAAGACTGCAGCAATTACTGTTATTGTACACATACCTTGCCGCATTATCCAGAGAAAGCCTTGTGTTTCGCATGACTGTTGAATTGAAAAAATATGTCCGTTAGAAGCTTGACAATACAGATTGTGTCAGAGTTGAGCTGGACAGCCGTGCAAAACAGAATAACTTAATTTCACTCGCCTTTTAGAGGCATTTTGTCATTTGAGCTCTTAATGTGATGGTTCAGTCAATCGCTATTGTATTAGTTCATGCTCATGATATCGGGGTCACAACCATTACTGCTGGTTTTGTTGACTGCTGACAAACAAATTTAGTCTCCAGCCACTTACCGGTGATGGTAATGTGCGCAGTATTTCAGGCTGTCATGCCCTTTGTAACAATTTACACCTCAGTTGAGCATAAAATGTAGGAAAACCACAAACTGTTGCAGTTACACTATAAAATGTATACAGGCTTGATGCATATAAAAATGCAAAGAAATGGAAGCCTTAAAGCTGAAGTGTGTCATTTTGTCAATTATTTCTCTTCAGGAGAACAATGTACCAATGGTTCATATATAGATGACTTAATTAAACACTTCTGCTTTAAAGGAATAGTTCATCCGAAAATGATTTGCTGAAAATGTTCTCATCCTCAGGCCATCCAAGATGTAGATGAGTTTGTTTCTTCATCAGAACAGATTTGGAGAATTTTAGCATTCCATCACTTGGATCACCAATGGATCCTCTGCAGTGAATGGGTGCCGTCAGAATGAGAGTCCAAACTGTCACTTCTGGCCATTCATAATGCTTCCTCGAGTGAAAAAGTCCATTTCCAGTTGTCTTCTCACATTAAAACCCACAGACATACTTGTTTAGAACTGTTTTGGACCATTTTTGCCTTGTAAACGGTGCTTGAATCAGACAAGACGACTTTTTCTCTGGAAAAAGCAATGTTATGGATAGAGGACTTGAATTTTAGCAGGAAGTGACAGTTTGAAGTTAAAAACATCTTAATTATGGATTTTTTTCTTATTTCATGCAGCACTTCACTGCTCAAGGTGTTAACTAATGGACTGGAGTGGTGTGGATTATTGTGATATTTTTATCAGCTGTTTGGGCTCTCATTCTGACGGCACCCATTCACTGCAGATGATCCATTGGTGAGCAAGTGATGGAATGCTACATTTCTCCAAATCTGATGAAGAAACAAACTCATCTACAACTTGGATGGCCAGAAATCACTATAGAAATAGATCAAGAGAAAAGCAATGGCTGCTTTCTGCAGGTGGCCATGAAGATTCATCCGATGGTGTAATCCAGTTAATTAATCAGGATGCAAATGGGTTGTGTGATTAGAATAGCTAGGTAGCTGAAACAAGCAAAGGTGTTTGTGTGGGTAGACATCACTCTCGTCTCCTGTAGTGTGACATGCTATACTTCATCTAGGACTATTCTTGTATAATTATTATACATGCCTCTTTTATTAATCATATTAATTGAGAGATTACATGCAGCATTTGCTCTTTTAAAAATTAATTTGTCACACAGCAGAGCCTTTAAGTAAACCGCAAATGCTATTTTTAAAGGACAAAAAAAAAGCACCCAGCTCTGTTACAATTACAAAAGTATTTGTAAAATTGGAGAGAAACCACAAGATTTAATGTATATTATATATAGGAACTATTAATTAATATTTTTAAGATTATTAAATATTAATATTTCTTAATATTTCACATTAAATACAACTATTGACAGCATCTGTGACATTATCACAGAGCATAATTTAGACACTTCAGTTTAATATTTACTCTAAAACAGAGAAACACTAATTTACTGAGAAAAACCATGACCTACAGAAGTTATAAAAATATAACTTTATTAGATCATGTGATCCATGACATACCCACCGAAAGCATTCACAGATGCTAGCATTAGCTTTGTGCATAAACACATCGAGGGATATTTTAAAATTAAGTTTTACATAAAAAAAAGGGAAGAAAAATACTTTTAACACAGAATCCACACAATTATCAAATATACTCTCATATACATCTGATGTGTAATAGCCTACACTTTGCAAATGCATACATCTCATAGATAAATATACAGCCAATTTTCCAAACATCTACATATCGTAAACGT